CAGCCCTTCCAGAGTCGGAGAGAGCGTAGTATAGTACGCGAACCCCCCTCAATAATCCATCCCCAACACCCGGGCCTGAAATCAATCCAGGGGGGGTTATATAAGTAATATGAAGTGAACATTACCAGCAAAGTCAACCGCGATGCAGTTCAAGGAGCTCCTGCCCCGTCGGGCCACGCTTCATGCACCGCCTCAGCTTTCCAGGGCGCAGAGTGAACAGTAAGGCACGTGGGCAGGCTCACGATTTTACACCCGTTTCGGCTGAGATGCACCCGGCGGCGAAGCGGGAACTTCAGGCTTCAAGTGACCCACTGAGAGCCGTCAACAAACCGTGCAGGAGGGCAAGCGTCACAATCACGCTTCAAAGCTGACTCAACTTTGGAGCACTTGTATGCGGGACGTGTTGAGCCTCCACTTGAAGCAGTTGCCACAAAGCACAAGTCCGCAACTTCTACAATGATATCTGCCTCGGGTGCAGGTCAGCTTTGGTCTCGATCAAACATGTTAACATGGCCATGTGAATATGTGGTAAACCCGGGCCGACTGCGAACTGTGACAGAGAAGAGAACCTGCTACCAGCAGACGTGAAGTCTGAACCGAGCCGTTCTGGACATCCAAAGAGACCAATGCAGGCAACAAGCCAAGTCCGGTGTGTTCACATCATGCTGAAGTCAGTGTATGTTGCAGAGGGTACCTTGCAGCTGTGGCATCGCGGTGCCAAATGATCCGGCACGAAGAATGGAGGATGCGTTGCCTCACAAGGCTTTGGAAGCTGGACTCACAAACCTCTTATACTCTAGGCTCTAGACTCTAGATCACCTGCCAGGATTGCCTTTGCAAAAAATCCTCTGAACCCTACAGTCTAAGCCCGCAACCCCAAAACTCAGGGCCCTTGGGCAGCTGCTGGGATGGAACGGGTATTGAAGTACGCCTGCTCTCGGTGCAAGGTCTCCCGGTCCTGGCCGTCATCTGGAGGGATGCTCCCTGTTGGGCAGGTCCATATATCTAGGATCCTACGATTGTTACAATATGTAGTAGGGGCCGCTCCCACATCCAGGAAAAAGAAGCAGGGCTTCTTGTCATGGCTGGGCCTCGGCCGTGAGCTGGACGGACGACTCCTGCAATCTCGGAGCTTCTCACAGCAGGGTTAGGGTTTAGGGCCGTTTAGGGTTTAGGGTTTAGGGCTTAGGGTACGTTGGTGCTTAGCTCCGTCACTACGACTCTAACCCCGCGCACAAACTCCCAAGAGCAGCCCCATGCTTTCCTTCGTACGTGTGGTACACCGGCGTCTCGGTCCAACCCACATGGAGGTTGAGGGTTCAGCGGGAGGTCTGCTGAAGAGACTGGGAGCACTGTGGCCTGCAGTCCTGAAACCGGAAGCCGTTTGAGACCACAAGGCATGACATCCATCGCTTGGCTGCCAAGTCCTGCAAGAAGTCTTCAGCGCAACATGCCCTCTCGTAGCATGGGGCTCTCAATGTGGCGTCTTTGCCTCTGCTGTGCCCCTGCTTTGTGTCTAGGTGGGCCCGGGGCTTCCTTCCTTCGTCCCGAACTTGCCTTCCTAGACGCAGCCTACTCGCCCATAACTGATGCTTGCTTAACGGGTCCTCCCTACCTGTATCAATGCAAAGCTGAACTTGGTTGCTCAAGAACAAAGAATCCGAATCTAGTCCTTCTTGGATGTATCCACAGCTTTCAGCACATCGAACTGGTGCTGGCTCCTATTAGCTTCAGGGGCATAGGTAAGTTGCGACATCCACAAAAGGGCTCACTGCTCTTTTCCCCTGTGCCCGGCACCGGAACGCGAGGTTGGCCCGGCCGTTGACTAAGAGGGACGTCGCTCTGGCATCCAACCTGTCATACGAGTACATACCATATAGAGCGATGCACTCTACGGACGAAGAGCATGCTTCTAGCTGCCTGGAGCAGGCTTCAAGGATGGGAGGCCACTCGAACTTGTCAACCTTCGCACTCGAACACAGGATTTGCATCGCAGAAGGACTGACGAACTCGCCTGGTTGACGTCTGTCTCGGCATGCTGAAGCAGCTGCAGGATAACGCTGTAGTGAGCCTGGCCCCCAAGCCCGAACAACTTCGGCCTTCTGGGATCTTCTGGGCTGAATCCGGAAGGACCCACCTTTGACACAGCAAAGTGCAGCGGCGTCCAACCGGTCGTCTCCTGACACGAGGCTGACTGTGTGAAAGTGTCCCTACCCCAACCCCATGCTGCGTCCTCCTGGGAATTTGGATGGCAGTTGTTGTCAAGCAAGACCTGCACCAATCCTGGGCAGCACTGGAGCTGAGTCTTCGTCTCCCGAGTCCCGAGCGTCTCTGGGCTCCCAGACCCAGGTCTCCGTTCTGCGCAGCAAGGTGAAGGGAGGTCTGCCCTCGCATGTCTCGAGCCTGTCAGTGGTGGGTCACGAGGATGCTTCCCGGCCCACACAGCCCGCCTCGAGGTCAAACGTCCCCTTGGGGCAGGCCTGGTGCAACGGGTGAAGAGATATCATGCTGAGCTTTACAAAGATTGGTGCCCTAGGAGGAGTACGGAAAGGAGGAAGGAGAGGATGTCGGCACCAGGGCTGGCTGCATGCATGCCTGGTTGAGACAGCATGGCAACTTCACGAAGTCAAGGCAGGCTCACTACATCCAGAGAGCAATGGCCTTTGCACACGACGTGCAGCAGCGTGTCCTTCTGACGACTTGTGACCGATGACCCTGACATCCCTGGCTCCCGCTGTTGGAGGTGCACGAGCACTTCCTGGTCGTTGTTGCGCATCCTCCCGAGGATGGTCAGCCTGGACGACAAGCTGCCTACAGCTGTGCCCACTCTGGCGCCATGCGCGATGTGAGCCCACTTTGCCTGTCTTGCGGCAGGTTGCTCACGATCATCCTGAGGAAGTCCTGGAAAGGTCACGAAAACCGTCCGAGAGCGCCGAAAGCACCCGGCAACCCCGTAGGCGCTGCCTCGTTGCACACGAGGTCAGGGCTCAGGAGGACGTGGTGATATTTTTCGTTCTCCAGGACTTCCGGTATAAGCTCCTCCGGAGATACCGCCAGAACTCTAGGGTCTCTAGGCAAGGGCAGACCCTGGCCCTGGCTGTCAAAATTCGGGGCTGCCTGAGACTCCACAAAGCCTCAGCCTTCCCGGCAGTCCTTGACCCATGCTTTCGACAGAAGGTACGGGAGGCGCTCCTTTGGCCTCGGACCACTTACAAGTGAGATAGGGCATGCACGCTGCACGGTTTCCCGGGCCACGCACCCCTTTTGCAAGAGCTTGTGGAGGATATCGATGAACGCTTGTGGTCCTGTAGATTCTAGACGTCTGGCCGGCACTGAACAAACAGGCGAGCTGCGATCTGCCTTCACCAACAGGCTTTGCGAAGTTCAGGGTTTGGAGCGCATGGAGCTCCTCCTGACATTGTGGCTCCGACCCGGTGTTTCATCAACAATCAAAACAAACACCAAGCGCGACCCTCGAAAAGTAGGAGTCTTGGCACTTCTCCGTGATTCGCTGCATTTTTGGCCTCATGTGGTAGAGAAGAGAATATAAGCCATCCCTCAGCCCCGTTTTCTCCGGCTGTTCAGTCAGCTTGGACCTCGAAGCTGTTCTCAGCTGCGGTATCGGAGCTCTGCCCGGGTCGGGAGGTCCTCAATCTTCCGTCAACGCCAGGCCATCAAGTATTGCGTAACGGAAAGGTGCGCAGCGCCTTGTGGCGCAGTAGGCCCGGAGCCTTGCCAATGCAGCTGCGCTCACTTAGCAGCATGCACTTTTCAAGACACTCAAGCGATAAAACACTCTGTCAGACTGCGACACTTGGAACAGGGAGGAATCAGAACATGTTCCGGCCTTTCTTTGCGGGACCTTCGACAGTTTTAGCGATTTCCTGCACCATGGATGCATTCGCATGGCATTTCAAGACGGAGATCTTTACAAAATGCACCTCGATGGGATCTTCTTCCTCATCCTCTACCCTGAAAGTCTCCAGCAGCTCGTCCGAGTCCCTGCGGTGCGCACCGGCTGCGCAACAAAGGAACACCTGTGGAGTCTAGGACCAGGACCGCGCAGCTGCCGAGGTATTCCGAGGTGAAGAGACCACGACTGACGCACAGACTTTATTTCCAGGAGTCAAGTAGGGAAAAGAGCCTCTGAGAAAGTGGCTGTCTGGTGATGGCTCGGTGGCTGCACTGACATCTCCCAAAGGTTTCACTGTCTCCTCTGGGCTCATGGACTTGAGCTGCCAATGAACTTCCAAGCAAAGCTTAGCTGCCTTCATGTCAGCAAAGCCTTGATGTATGCGGTACCAGAGCCACTCGTCCTGGCGCTGGTGCTCCGTGCTGACCCTTCGTCCCTTGTCCGTCTAACAAGCTCGCGTCCTCCGCCTTCCGCAAGAGTTTGGAGATGGCCAAATTACCACGGGAGACATGCCTGGCACGTCTGTCAACCTACGGAACAGCTGTCGGTGACATCTGTGAGGCCGGGTTACCTTGCAGTTCGGCCGTCCACATTCCGTAGAAAAACGTCAGATCCAGCCTGCGCAGGGTTCTGGCACTGGCTTCACGATGTGTAAGGCTCTGAAGCAGAGTCAGGCTTCTCATCGGTCCTCGATGAGAACCTGGACCTGAGTCTCGAATGTAGCAGCAGGAGCAGTAGGAGTAGGCGAGTAGGAGCAGCAGTAGGAACGCGGGCAGGGACGAGCCGTCCATCATTGCGTATCGATATCTTTGACTTAGCTTCCTCATGCTTTTTTCGAGTCTCCTCCTGCATTTTCGCATTTGCTTCTGCATCTGTCGAGCTTCAATGTTCAAGCACTGCTGAACGAATGGCCGGTGCGCCCTAGGTCCGAGTGGTAAGCCGCTTGCAACACCGTGGGCACAAGAGTCAAAACTTGCAAGCAGCGTGCCACTCACCACGGCAAAAGTTGTACCTCAAACAGATCTTCCGACCAGACCGGAGTTCTTAGCAAGCTTCCCACGCGCTTACAACCAATCGAAGGGAGAAAAGGTCCTGCCGACTGGGTCCAGAAGTGCTGAACGGAAACAGGAACAGAAACTTGAGATAGCAAAGCCGTTTTCTTGCCAATGCCACTGCCTCGGCGCAGCTTGCAGAGCCCGGTGCTGAGAAAAGAGGCTCGGAGTCGATCTGTTGCCGCTGCTAGCTAGGTCATGAGAATCTTCGTCTCCCGTACTTCCGACGCTTCTCGCGTTGTGAGCAACGGTTTGTAGGGAACTCAACAAGCAAGCAGGGGTTTCAATACTGGCTGTATCTTGCTGCATCTTTGTCTCCTTTGCGCAGCGGTTAAGCACTTGCGGATCCCGCCCCTATCTGCTGTCTTCTTTCCGGTCCACGTGGTGGGGAATGGTGCGCACTGCAGCGGCTGCGGTCTCGTCTCCTTGAATAGTTCTTCCAACACCGCTATGTAACTCTATATCCAACATAACGAAAAGGCTCCAACTAAGGCCCACCGAGCTCCACGCGACATTGACATGACATGCATGCCCAGCCAAGTGAAGAGGTGTCCAGAGGTGCGAGCCACCCCTGAATGCAAAAGGCAGACCACATGACTTTGCCAGATCCGAACAGCTGCCTCAGATTCAGATCGAAGACTTGCGGGCACGTCCGCACTCTGCTGCCCTTTGGCTTCTTGGACCTGGCGGAAGGGTCTCAAAATTTCACGGGACTGTCTGGGGCACACTATTTAATGTGACGGCATCACTGGTGAGAACAGGTGCCCTTCTGGCAGGCAGCGTCGAAGGAGTCCAAGTTACTGACAAAGACCACTTGCTTCCACCAAGGTTAAGTGTGCATGCGTGGTAGGACTGGCATAGACGCGCTCGGGCTGCTTTTTCGCGCACCATGGCGCAGCAATCTTTGCAGCATCAACCCCTCGCTGAGGAAACACTGCTTAAGCGAACGCGTCGTCCAGCAATGGTTGTGAAACCTCCCTGTATGCCCTTTCATCTGCGAGGCATCTCCGCAGGGCCTGAACGGAAAGCTCCGCTGCAGATGGCCATACGGAGTCCACAGTTGCTTCTGCAGGCGTCATCGATGGCCAGACCTGCTTCTCAGTTGCACCCGAAGGCGGCGCCGATGGCCATACAGAGTCCACAGTTGCGTCTGCAGGGGTCATCGACGGCCAGACCGATTGCTCAGCTGCAATTGCAGGTGATGGCCGGTCCGCTGGTGAACCTGTGGGTTGAGTCGACGGCCAGACTGTGGCATCGATGTCACTAAATATAGAAGCCCCAAAGTGTTTAAAGTTCTCCCAGTAAGGAGGTAAGGTGCTCAAGGAGATCAGAGCTCTTCAGACATTGTAGCTTTCTTGCAAGTTCTTCCCTGCCAAGCTCCTGGGACGCCGACAGAGCCAAAGCAAGCTTCGCCAGGGCTGCTCGATCCTTCACCAGGGGCCCCAAAAACTCTTTGGGTGTAGGGTTCAAGCAGGTTTTTGGGTTTTGGCGCCAGGTATATGAGGTCTTGGCTTTAGGGTCTTCCTTTCGAGCTTAGGATTTCATAGGAGTTCTATAGAGGGGCAAACCAATTCAGGTCTTCTGGAAACTCCGCCTCGTAAGGGTCTTTCTACCCCCCAAAACGAAAACCCTTGTGTTGACGTGCGCTAATTTGCCCCCGTACCTTCTTAACGGCTGCGAAGCCTGCACCCATCCGTTCTTGCTCAATGCGGCAGCCACATACGAATAGCAGAACGTATCGCCCAGGTCGTCCAGTTCCTTGATCTGTTGCAGAACCCGCATGTACTCTCCGCCTTGCAGTTTCGGGTGGAATGTAGGGTCCTCAATAGTTAGAATAAGGCTTGTTGGGTGGTACAGTATAGTTTATAGTAAACTTATATGTAACCAGGAACCAAAAGGGCTAACATCATAAGCAGTTATTCCCACCGCTCTGTTATAAAGCAGCTCACGAAGAATCACCTCGTGCCTTGCACTGGCATGTAGCAAGCAGGACCAGAGCAAAGCAGCCCAGAACCCCAAACTAGCCACCAATCCAGTATGTGAAAACACAAATACCGCAGTAGACGAACTGCCCGGTATTCGCTGTGTGCCTGGATGACCTCGCATCAGCTGGCAAGTTCGTCCGACAGGTAGGAAAGCCAGCACATCTGACGTTTTGGCGAACCCGTGACCATGTTGATGTCTTCGTCGAGGACACTGCTCCTCCTCTGCTTCTCTGCGCTGAGTTTCGCCATTGTCGTAATGACGCCCGATCCGCTGAAACCCCCGATTGGCAAGGCCAATCTCTGGGTGAGGGCAACTCTGCACCATGTACCTGTGGCGTTGCCCCAGCTAGCACTCCGACTAAACTTCCCAGCACTAGCATCAGGGCTGCAAAGCCTTGCTTGTCTGCCTCTGCAGAATATGGAGGGATAAGACATGCAGGTCCAGCACCAGCTGACAGCTGGGCTTGGCGATTCAAAATCAATCAACTCAGTCTTCGAGTGTTGTGCACGAGATGCATCTTCGCCAATTTCCTGTCGTCCTCGCTGGTGGCATATTCGTGCAAAGTCTTCGGCAATGCCCAGCGCTCCACTGCTGAGTCGGCGGAGTTAGGTCGCTCCCTGAAGCCAGGCTATCGTTGAGCCGGACATCCCAGATCGCCGTAAACCGAAGAGAAAGTCTTGACAATCGGACGTGCTCAGGCGACTGGACAACCTTACCGTTGTACCTATCTCATCCTTAGCTTCGGATTCCTCGCCCGACCCGGCGCTTGACTCATTCTCGACGAGCGGTGGTGCTGGAGGAGGCGGTGGCAAGGCCGTCGAGTTCCGGACCACATACCTGTGAGCTGCTATGGCCCTCCTCAAATCCAACTCTTGCTGCCGCAAAGATGCCATCTGCTCGCTCAGCTCGGGGTGCTCCTTTTGAGATTCGCTCTGCTCCCGAAGCTCCTGGTTCTGAATGTTCTGAGCTGCCTGCAGTCGATGATCTTCCTGCGCAAGAAGGGCACTCCTTTCACACCTCTGCTCTTGAACTTCTCTCTGCAGCACTTCCACCTCACTGAGGCCCGAAGCCCTTTCTTGGCAGAGGCTTCTCCGAGACTCCGAGAGCTCCGCCGAGAGCTCCGCCGCGAGCTCCCGAGTCTCAGAAAGAGCTTTGAGCTCGGAGCGGAGCTCGGAGACTTCCTTGGCCTCCTCTTTTGAAGCTTCCGTCTCAAATACAAGGGATCTGCGGCAGCTCTCGGCAGCATCCTTCATGTGCAAGACCTCCTCCTCGAGCCGCAGGTGATGGGCCTCTGCAGCCTTCAGATGGCTATGCAATTCCTCGGCGTGCAGCTGCGCTGACTCCACTGACAGCTCCGCTGCACTTCTTTGCTCGGCCGCTGTGTCTGCTTCCGCAGATCCTCGCATCTCCAGCGCCGATATCTCAGCTGCCTTCTCGATGACTTCCTCCCTCAAATCCTTCTGCATCTGCTCGCTCTGCCGGAGACAATCGCACTCTCGGTCCCAGGCCTCCTCTTGCAGTCCCTGCAAAGAGAGCTGCTTCTGCTCTGCGATCTTCTGCTCTGCGATCTCAGACCTCATCCGGCCCTGCAAGCTTTCCTCTGACTGGCACTTTTGCCTCTGACTGGCCACTTCCTCTCTCAAGGCCGAGATCTCGGCTTCGGCCTCCTCACTTCCATGCTCGCCGTTCAAGACCGCTAGCACATCCGCCTCCTGCCTCGCATGCTGAAGCGCCTGCCTGGCTGATGTCATTTCAGAAATCAGGACTGTAGCGTCGCACTGCCTGTAGTAGCTCCCAGAGTATCCTCGTTGCTCGCGTTGCTCGCGTTGCTCGCGTTGCTTGCGTTGCTTGCGTTGCTCGCCATGCTCGCCACGCTGGAAGACAGAATCGCACTGTGCCGCTGCTCTAGGGCAGCCCTGGAGGACTTCAGTGCATCCGCTTGCAGGACGCTCAGGCGACCCCTGGTCCTGCTGGTGCGGCCCGCGCGGGCGGGTAGGCTCAGCGTGGCCATGGAAGCCCTGGGAACAACCTTTGGGACCTCGGGCAGAGCACTTTGCTCTTCGCCGGATGCGCCGGGCTCGGCTTTGGCATCAGGGCTGCTCGATCTCGAGGAATCCCCAGGCATTGCCTGGGCTGAGGTCGCAGGCTTCGCCCCAGGCTCAAGCGGCCTCAAGACACGATGCCATCTCTGGCCTACAAGCCAAGGTTTCCCTCTGAGCTCTGCAAATCTTGCGGAAACCTCTACCCCGTTGAGGTCAAGCCGACACACCAAGAAGGATGCTCGAGCACAGAAAGGCATTCCAGCACACAGCATCCTGCCTTAGCACGAACGCAATCCCACGCAATTGGCCTGGAGGGCACTTCATGTTTCACACGTTGACACCCAGATACGCCAGGAGACATGAGTAGACCAGGCCTACCCCTACTTCAATGTGCAGCCCAGTCATGATTCGACCTCGTCGAGCAGCGAGGTGAAGCGGCGCCCACTTGTCGCTGTTCATCCTGAGCTGCGCAATGCAGACAGCAGAATCAAGCATGAAACAGCGGACCGAGCCCCGTGCATGTTGCAATCAGCGTTGTGCTGCAACAAGATTTTGCCAATGGCCGCGGCTCGCTTACCACCCTGCATGCAACAACCAACAGTCTGGAATCCCAAAATGGGCAGAACTTCCAATCGCAGAGCCTTGTCGAAAACCGACATCAAAACATGCAGAGGGGCGTTTCCTGCAACACAAAGGCATTGACAAAGAAGCTCTGTCAGCAGGTGCTCTTGTCACTTGTCTGGCTACAAACATGGCTGCTTGTAGATCATGCCCGTCCATCAGCATCGGTCTGATTGACATCAGCTTTTCCACGAATAAGTAACATCACCTCAATCAACACCAAAAGCACGCGGCGATCGCGAGACGTTCTGCCATGGTGCTGCCATGGGACCATCTGCGGGTCAAAGTTGACCGTGGCCACGTGAAGTGGCGAGCCAAACAGACCCCCGCCACGATTCACGTCAACCCCCACCTTCGGCAAAAGACGAAGGGTGATACGCCCTGTGCCAAATCACATTGCTAACGACGCCAGTTTGCTGAGCGAGAAACCCTCACAAGGGCATTGGCGATGTCGGGATGCTCCTCAAAGAGAAATACGTGACGGGCGGACGCAGGTGGCCCTGGACAGACCTCGCGGACCGCTACAAGCAGCGGCGAGTAGCCCTCACAGTCCAAGGAATCGCACTTCGACCTCGGTGATTCAATGGGCTGATTTACGAGGGCTGTAACAACAGACATTGCACAAGGGAGTTTGGGACCTTTTTGGATGACCAAAACTGGCCCCAACTCCAGGGAATTTCGGAGCCAGACCCGTTCTCGGCCAGAGCCAGGGCTACACCAACGTGTCCCTCGAGACAGGCCACGTGTAACCTGAGCACAGGAAGTGAGCGCGGGATGAAACTCGTGCAATCTGAGGCTCAAGAGGCCCTGGATCTTGTGTTTAAAGTCTGAGTCCTGTTTTTTTTGCTCTGCACTTTTGCCGCTGAGGGTCCTGAAAACCGTTACCGGCAGCAACCCATTCTTGTTTTGATGGAGGCCTATGGAAGGTTTCCAAGCGAATTGGCCCAGGTCCACCCCGGAAAGGAAGTGCGGGCTGAATGCTGCAAGAAAAGAAGCCCTGCTCCACACAGTACCTATGTAAGTTCAGCACCGAGTTCTCCTTTTGGAGTCGATTGCATTCGGATCGAAGGCCTTCTGCGAGAACTCCGACAGGACCTACAGGCCAGAGCATCGATGCAGCCAGGGACCACTCGCTTCAGAAGTGCAGGGGCCTCTATACAGCTCACACGAGCATCCTGCACCCAGCGAAAAACTGCTGAATATCAACGCACGAAACCCTTTAGCAGCGAGATGACGCTGGAGCCGGGCTGGGCCGCCTTGTCTTTCTTCTCGCGACAAAGGTCTCTGAGCTTCACGATGATGCGCTGGAAATTCAAGCGAGTTTGCAAGGAGCCAGACAGCAGATTAAGGAGTGCCGCACCTGCCACTCGGCTCCCTTTATCACGCGTGGTAGTGGCGGAGTAGTGTACCTGTACCAAGCGCAATCACTGTCTCTGCAACACGACGACACTAGTTTGGACACGTGCCTGAACCATTCCAAGGCAAGCTCTTGCAAATTTTCCAGCGCCCTCGGTTCGATAGTGGTTTCTGATTGTACTTCATTGAACTTCGGACTTATTTTGCGCTTCGACGGCGGAGACAGCACTTTGAGAATCACGCGACAGGCTGGAGGGTAAGCTTGTGAAGCTGTTGTGGTGCAAGTAGAGGGTCTGCAACTCCTTGCACCTGAAGCATTGAGGCCACTGAAACCTCTTCCGGGCATGGAAAATACAATCGAAATACTGAAGCTTGCAGATTATGGCATCAGGCGTTGCATATAAGTTTACAATACGTACCAAGAGTTCCATGCAAGTCTTGTCATGCCTTGCACTATGCACCGTGCGCTTCATACACATGTGTATGCATAACATTACAGAATCTAAATATTTCTACTAACATGGACAGAAGACCACTGCAAGAACAGACCGGGCACATCCCAGGACCACTTCAAGACCACGAGAGGCCGAATAGTGTGACCCTGCTAGAGCTTGAGAAACTTCACGAGACTCAAAGGCACACATAGGTGATTACGAGACCAAGCGGAAGAGCCTGAAAGGCCGAATAGTGCGACCCTGCTGATGTTCACTCTAGACACTGCTCGAGCTTTGTGAAGACGAAAGTTGAGGCAAAGTAGGAACTGTGGCCGTGCGACGGACGGACGACGGATCCGCACGGGACACCAACACCGTCGCCCGTCCACCACCCCCATCGCTGCTGCACGTCTGTCGCGCAACTCTTGTCCATCCGTGGCGTGAAAAGTTGCAAAAGCATGATGCAAGTATAAGCTGACCAAGTGACAAGAGTCGTTTATGTTGTAATATTGTGATGAGTCGCTTGTTTGTTGTCAAGGTGTGTTCGGGATTGTGGTCGTCACTGTTGGGTCGTTGTCGCACCGTCGCATCGTGGTCGCGAAGTCGTCGAATCGTCGTCACCCCTCGTCGTGTCGTCCACACGTTGTCGTCTTATATAGCGAGCGTAGATGCAAGAGCCATGCTGTGCATGTTCGAGGCGATTGCTTGCAAACTGTGCAAACACTCTGCCCCGGTGTGCAGTCTGAGGGGTTGAGGGAAGTCACGCCACCTGCTCCGCCGCAGCAACGATAACAACGACGGCAGCCACAATCTTTGTCCACCAATACTTCTACAGACGTGATCGATAACCACATGCGAGGCACCTCCCTTGCACTGCCTTGCACAGCAACGTAGCCGGACTCTCAGAGCGAAAGCATCGCTTCGAGCTCCCAGCTGTCCAAGCTCTACCGGAATCTCTTCCAGGAAGTTGTCACCTGTTCAAGGCAACGCCCCGTTGTCGAAACGACTTGAATCTCGAACAGCATGTTGCAACATGCGTTGACTTGCAACGATTTCGGCCGCTTGCCACAGGCTTCCAATCATGCTGGCCTAGGCTGAGACTCTTCAGTGACTTCATGGATCCCACAGCCTGCAAGACCAGCGCACGTGACAAACAGAGCGGGTTCTGGCGACCTTCATCCTAGCCTTCGGCAGCATCTTCAAGAGGTTCTGGCTCAGAGATAGCCCCCTCAGGTGTGGCAAAAGGCAGACCTTGGCACAGAACGCCCGAAGGCACGGATGACGCAGAGAAGGCCGACGAGCCTCGTCCGGGATCTCCCTCAAACGATTCTGATCCAAGAGCAGGTCCTCTCATTCCGACGGTATGCCCTGGTCACTGGTCAGCTGTAGTATTGCTCGGATCCGACTCCGTACATCTCGGAACACACGATGTTTTCGGAGCTGGCCGCACGATCGACATGTCTCTGGTTTCTCCTCTGAAGAGGATTTCCTGTGTTAACACAACGCACGCTATTAGAATGCAAAGCCATGCTTGCTGCGACTACGACACCTCCACCACCGACAACAAGACCACTGCCACCCTAACCATCCCTACGATGAGATGCAAGCGGCACTCACGGCAACGACAACAGATACAACTGTAGAGCTGGTGCTTTTCGTCTTCGTGCTTCTACCATCTTCTACTAGCACTGGGAGCAACAACATTGGAAGCTGTAGCTGCATGTAGCTGCAGCGACAGCAACAGCAGGACAATCAGGACGACAGATGCAGCAGTAGTGCCACCACATCGCGAATGCAATCCTGTTATCTTTCAATATTTGTCTTAACAACAAGGCCGTTGCCATTTGGTGGAGTGCTTGCTGATGTCAACCCCTTGTTGCTACTTTGTTGCATGTGATCTAGATCCATGCATATCTATGAAGCCACACCAGATCTTGGACCCTGAGGTGGGTCGCGCGAGGCAGAAGATCCTGAACACCGTTTTTTTCGAAAGACGAGCCCTGTCACGAAAATCTGAACCCTCCAAGCCTCCAAGTGCTAGGACCGCAGCGAAAGCCGAAATAACACGAAGACAGAACGCTGTATGACTCAGAGTGCGCTTGTTGAGGAATCCATTAAGACACAAGCAGCTGCAGTGGATTGGCCGGACTTGAAGTGATTGTCGTCTGAAGCAAAAAGCAATGAGAGAGGTACAATGAGCCACAGCTACACAAGAGGTCCAGAGGCGACAGCTTGAGAGGTCCTCCAACTGACTCATCACACGAATGTCTGGCAACAGCTCCTCGCTCGTGCATGCTCAGGCGCAGGATTAACGGATGAGCGAACGCTGGAGAACGTCCTCCAGCGCATTCTTGCGAAGATCTAGAACCTGCTGGTCCGCTTCGGGCTGCTGATCGTTTGTGCGCACTGAGAGGGCAGCACCTTGACGTGCGTGAAAGCACTCAGGACCTACGCGCACGGGAAGTGGCGAGCACTCGAACGCCAGCACAGAGTCACACAGCACATCACAGCATCACACAACACTCAAAAGATGCCACACCATTCCGGCCTGTGCCGGAATCGCTGAGATCTTGTGGTCCTTGAGATCGAGCACCTCCAGCGATTTCTGAGAAACATATTCCTACAGTCCATGTTCAGTCTGGAGCGGACCTGCAAGTTGTGCTGGGAGGCTGCAGTCTCAAGTGCCCCAAGATTCAAAGTGCCGAGCCTTGGCACGAAGGTCTTCTGTCACACGTCTGGTGTCATAAAGCTCGTATGAAGGTTCTTTAGGGGTGCGGCTTGGCAGTGGAGAGGGATGCAAACATGCCCTCCATGAGCCACAGAAACCCTGTACTCTCTGTGTGACGCCCAGTGCAATCAGGCCTTGGCCTCCTGGCTTGCCATAGAACGGCAAGGCTGCCTCCAAAGCCAGGGCAAAACACATAGGGGTTTGTCAATACATGCTGTGAAAACCTGACCTTGAGGCCCAGGTGCTAGACGATCGATGCCATCGCAACACGGCGGGGAATGGCTGGTGCCATCACGACTTCCAGAAGAATGGCTAACTATATGACTAGCCTGGTCCGGGCAAACTCGTCTCCAAACTCTTAAGAGCATATCAAATCACAGCTTCGCTTCGGCGGAGGTGCTTTTTGTTCAATCTAAATGGTTCTGCTAATGCCCCGGTAGGTACCATCTTCGAGCACATCTCGTCGGATGCACAACTTGTGCGGACTGCTTGGCTGCTTACTCCAGCCTCTGAGGGGCCTTAATTAGAATAGGGTTTGGGGGTATATTATCCTGTATTATAACTATGGTAAGGAATCCCCCAAACCCTATTCTAATTATTAAGGCCCCCACAGTATTGCGGGTGCAGAGGCTTTTCAGGTCGGAAGGAATCCCGCGCTCACTTCCGAGAGACAGAGCAGGCGCTGCCGAGCCTCAGCCGGGGGCGGTGACTCCACTCTTCTTAAGACTCTTCAGTCTCCCAGGGAGGATGCCGCCAGAAGCATCGGCGCTTGTGTCAGAAGGTCCTTGCACGGCAAAAACTCAAGCTTCGGCCCTCTCAACAAGATGCCCAGAAGCACCCCTCGTTGGCTCCTGCCCGATCAAGGCGCAGGGCTTGACAACCTGCCCGAAGATCCTGGCTTCCGGGAACAAGAACCGGGCTTCAAAGCTCTCGAGTCCCAGGACCCTGGCTGTTCAAAGCTTGCCACGTCCCCAATGGCGACCTGCTAACGTGCATCACAGCCGTCACTTTTGGCACTCAGAGGCCCCCACCTCCACTGGGCCTGCATCCCAGGTGCGACGTGGAGCCCGTCCCGCACCGCGCAGCTGGCAGGAGTTACGGAAAACCAGAGACAAAAACATGTGGGACATCCCAAACATCCGGTTTCCCTTGTTCATGAAAACTACCACAATAGTACCCCATATAAACCCTGTACTGCAACCCTTGCAAACCCCTTCCAACAAAATACGTCGTACGGTAGTAACCGAATCAAAACCCCTAGTGCCCCAACAGGTCCCTCTTTTCGGTGCCGACCTGTAGGCTCAGATCCGGGACGGTGGGCATTAGAAGCTCCTGGCCCCTGGCATCCACGGAGCTGACACCTGCGTTGAGCTTTCTTGGCTCCAAAACACCAAGCGACGATTTGGGTTGTTTTAGCACCTTTTTCCGCCTAGCAGTTAAAGCGATTTGGGGTTCGGGCTTAAGGTTTAGGGTCTAGGGTTGCTTCTTTGCGCCCAAAAAAACCATCGACGATTGCTTCCTTTGTTCCCAGAACCCGTCGACGATTGGTTTCTTTGTTCCGAAAGCCAACCGACAATTGGCTCCCAAGACCCATTGAGGGGCTTGGGAGTTCTGGATGGCTTAGGATTTGGGACTTCGAGAATAGGGTTGGATTCAGGGGAACTCTGCTCCTATCCCGAACCGAAAGGACGATTTGAGGCTGCGGTCTTGAAGAACTGCCGGGGACGTGTCTCAGTTTTGTGCCCCAAATGCAACGTACACTGAACGGCGAGCCTCTTCGAGGCCTAGCCATTGGTGGAGACAGGAGCTTTTCTAAGGTGAAAGAAGCTCCGGCGGAGGATCAGATTCTCTGATGTGGATTACTGGGGTGGAACTAACTTGAGGAAACTTGTGGCGCTTGGGACACCGGCAGGCTTCGGAGCATGCACGCACCATCCGCGCCGAAAAATGACAAAGGCAGCCGAACGAATATCTGCAGCAGAACCGAACGGAATATTCAGGCATCGCTTCCTCCTTCCAGGCTACATTTTGTGCACTGACAGCTTTAACCGCTCGCAGCTGGGCGTGCAGACGCTGGACCTCGGATTTCGCTGTTCGGAGCTGGGCTTCCGTCCGTCGGAGAAGCATTGACTGGTCCCCTGCTTCGCGTGAGTCGCCGCGGCGGCCCTCCCTGACAGGCGGAGGGGGAATGCGGCGGCAGGCTTCCAGGATGTCCCCCTCCGTGATTTCCAAGGACGGGTTCGTGGCTGAAACCACGGCCTCTCGAGCGTCCAGAGACTGCTTGGCAAAGTCGAAGAGTCGCTCACAGAGCCCGCCGTTCATCATCTCGCGAGCTTCTTCCAAAGTCTTCGCCTCAATCACATTGGAGAGGCGCTGGAAGCGGTTGGCCGACAGCGAGGGTGCCAGCTTGAAGCCGGCCCCACGGACGATGGAATTCAGAATTTCCGCGAGCTCACCAGGTGCGTAGTCACTAAAGTCGAAAGTGTAACCAATGCGCCGGTAGAGGCCCGAGTTGGCCTGCATGAACAGGTCCATGTCATCGGCATATCCTAGGTCCCTGCCCCTGCGCACCGAACATGAATGTCTTGCGAAAAGTCGTCCTATAGAGGAACTCACGAAATAGAAACCCGATTGGCAAGAGCAAAAGAAAACGTCCTCAACCGCAACCACGGATCCTGCAAAGACCATGATCGGCGCCTGACTGCGATCTGGAAGGCTTACTTTCCATCCCGGACGATACTTTCACTATCTTCGACAACCTGTTTTGGGGGAAGTCTTCTCGCCTTGCCCGGTGGGTCGTTCATTGCACCCATGAGCTGCTCGATGGCTTCCCGGCCAAAGTCGCTTTTCCCATTGTCTTGGCTCAGGCGGTAGGCCTCATCGATGAAGAGGACACCCTGCCTCGCCTGCTCGATGACTTTCTGCGTCTTCGGCCCCGTCTGCCCAACCTAAGTCTTACGGATCTGCGGTGACCTGAACCGTTTCTCTGCCCTCGTAAGCAGGCTGCTCCACATGTAGCAGCACGAGCTGACAGAATGAAGAGGGCATGGAAAGATCATGTTGAAACTGAAACACACAGCAAGCAAGGCGCATATTCTGCCACAAGCTTATCCCGCTGGACTTCCACCAAGAGGTCTGTCTGGATGATGCCAATTCGGTGCAGAAGCTGTGCAATCACTCTGGCCAGGGATGTCTTGCCCGTACCAGGGTTGCCCTGAAATGCCAGATCAGGGATGTTTTTAGACACTCGAACGTACGAGAGGGAACGGCCGGAAGAACCCGCACAGCGGGCACCGCTTTGCTCATCCCGCTGCATGCTTATGATGATGACTCTCAGAGGCTATGCGATACTAGAATACTAGAAGCCTTTCTCTAGACATTGACATTCTGGTGCGCACCATGGCGCCTCAAAGCTTTGCATGGTGCCTGCCCGTGAACACATGCTTGCTAGTGACTGCTAGTCTGGTGGTGCCTGAAGATGGCGACCGCGAATATTTAACTAGAACCGCAGGAGTCTTTCACGCGAAGCCTGAAAGATCATGTGGTACTTGCCACCGGTCTTTACCTTGTGTCCGGCATCCTCCCTCTTCTTGTCCAGAACCACAGAATGGTGGAATTGCCGAATTTGCTGCTTCAACAACTCGAGGCCCACAACCTTATCTGCAAGAAGAACGAGGGCACACGGAATTACAAGCCAGACCGTTTTGGAAGACCGTTTTTGATGTACTGGAATACAGTCATGCCAACGTGTAGACTCTGCAGCACAGACCAGGGTTTCTGAAACTTTACCGCAATGCAGAAGAGACGGCTGGGCTTGAATGCGGCAGTACAGAAGGACAACAACACCAACACATGCATCTCAAATCTCGTGACTCCACAGGCACTGTTCGTGAGACGAAAAATCTGTGCCAAGGACGCGAAAGATGAAATATTAGACTCTTAGCAAATGTTAGCAACGGAACGATCTTCCACAACTTAGCCCGTGGCCCGATCTAACTGGTATTCCAGCCACTCACCAGTACCTCCAGCATAGACCTCCAGTTCTGCCCAGCTAACAGTCGAAGACATGCTGAGATCGATTTCGGAGAACTTTTCCAGCAGTGGCGGAAAGACAGCCTGTCAAGGACAGACGACGCTGACTCGAATCGAAGGTGATCGTTTTTATTCGTGCTACTAGAAGCTCCCCGGCCTGGATCCGCGGCCGGTGTTTGATCAGGTCAGCCACCCGGATCTGGCCGCCAGGACCTGCACGGGAGACATCGGCAGCTTCTGACTCTCTACCCAAGCGGGCTTTTGTCAGCCATGCCATGCCATGCCATGCCTGCCACCTCATCGAACATGCTGCGCAGCTGTACCATGTCAACCTTTCGTCGCTCCTCGGCGCTCGCGGCCTTTCCCACACAGTAGTCAAGGAAGGCCGCGCGCGTGACGCGCCCGTCTTTGGCAACGGACTCGTACTCCCGAATGAAGTCCGGACACTCGGCTTCCAGGAGCTTCGCTTGCTTCAGCACATCGTGAACAGTCACGAAACCCCGTCTGCTGGTGTCGAGCTTGTCCCAGACACGGATTGCTTCGGCCTTTGATTTTTTCCCAGATGACGGTCTAGTGGGGCTGTACTTCTTCGGCCCTCTCTTCATGCAGCGCTGGAGGCCAGCAAGCAGATCAAGCCAGCACGGAGCATCAGAGCCATGAGACGCAAACTCAGAATCGAAACCGCAGTAATTCCGGAAGCAAAGCGCGCCAGTCTATCGCAAAATGGTTTTGAGTCCCGGGCAGTGTGCTGTCCAGGCTACAGCTACCTGCGCTACCTGCCGTTCTCCGCCTCTTCTCATGATCTTTCAGCTTCTAGCCAAAAGGCTGCAATGCAACAGAAGTGAGCCGAACCACTTCTTCCTCGGCATTGACGGCTGCTGCATTCCTAAACCCAGAAGAAGAACACGTGGCTTTGAAGGATTCGAAAGCCCCGGGTCACAGTATGAGACTGCTGTTTACTTGTCGTACTTTGCGATTTACCGGACCGGGGAGCCCGCGGCCCGCGGCCTCCTCTTGCACTGAGCATTTCCTGAGCATCCGCCTGGCAGTCGCCATCGGCAGCCGACTCCCATTGGGGGTTCGAGAGTTTCGGGTTCAGGGAGGTGCAGACCTCCACGAGATTGAGCAGCATCTTGGCAGCAGCCCAATTCAAAACCTTGAGTGAAGCAGTGCTGTCCGACAGGTCGTGCAAAGAGCCACGAACGTGAGTGAAACACCCACTGGTAAGGCAGCATCCGTGAAGGATGCTCCTGTGTCGATGACTCCACAGACACCTGCAAGTAGTTGCGCGAAACGGAGATGCTTTGCCGAAGAGGGTTGTGTCTGCAACAACGCCAGCTGGGCCACTGGACAATGGTCTGACCCAGGCAGCCCGAGATGAACTCCAAGAAGACGGGCAGGCAAAGGAACTGACAGGAGCTCAGGAGACAAATATTCAATTTGCAACCTCAATCCATCCGTTGATCCATCCAGTTGTCCATCCATCCATACATCCCACCCATCCATCCACGCCTCAGCCGCACAAGCAGTCATCCGCACATGCATCCATCCATTCATCCCTCCATCCGTCCGTCCATCCATCGTGCCCCGTGCTTTAAAGATGCCAGGCTGACAACATGCAGCCTCGCGACAACCTAACAGATAACCGCACATCATTCCCATCACATCATGCCATCCAAGCCAATTTGCAGAAGAAAACCCTTTGCCACGCTTTCGGGAAAAAAAACAAGTTCAGTGCAGCTCGACCTGTCCCTCCCAGTCTGCCTGTCGTCAGTGTGACCATGTCGTTTGCGACGGCTATCTTCTCTCCACAGTCTGCCTCCGAATTTGTACTGTCTTCTGCGGCTGTGCACCCCGGAGATGCCTCGGCTCCAGACCCCTCGTGCCTCGTACAATCGAAGAGCCGATGCATCAACTTCCATCTCGGCTTCCGTCAAAACGATTGCTCTTATCTACGTCTCAAGCTTCATGCGTGCACAGTTCGGCCGAGGAAGGTTCAGGCCCCTGCCGCAAACCGCTCGAAAAACTCCATGCCTTGCGGAACTCTGCATGCAAGGAAAGAGTTGACAATGCAGCCGTCAACCACAAAGCATGCGCGCCCCGGCCCGCCGGTTTCCAGCCACTACAGCACGCCAAAGTTGTTCCAAGAGAAGCTCCAACTCTCCGTGTTCACTCCACGCAAGTCTCGCAACGGCTAGCCGAATTATTTCAAGAAAAGGCTGAGTGTTTGGTCTGCTTTTGATCCTCTGAATGCCAAGACGTCCTCCAATGGCCACATTGGCCGGTGCCAGTGGCACCTGAAACCAGCTCTCCTCAGCTTCATCCTGCTTTCGAACGATCGGGAATCCTCTAAGATACAGTTCGAGCCGTGAAAAACCTCCTAGAAAATTTCTGCACGCAGCTTGTCTCGCGGATGCAAACTCAGAGCTTCAGACCACTTGTGCTTCTGGGCTTGTTTTATGGGACCATCGCTGAACGACCCCGCTTGAGCCCGCTAGTGGAGAGTGTTCGGGAGCATGCACCGATGCTGGCCTTTTATTCGCTCTGAAGAGCTGGAAGTCGTGTGACACCGTAGTGACTTAGTGGCTTCTGGAGTCAAGCAACCGGGGCCCTTTCAAGCCTTTGGGGGTCAGCCTTCAGGTATGCAGGCACAAGAACACAAGAACACAAACTACATACTGCGTATCTATACACCATATACCCTATACTATATTTATGCTATGTGGTATATAACATATATGAAGCTTGCCTTGCAGAGGGCCGAGTCCCCAGCCGAGCATTCCATCTATTTGGATGCCCATCGATCCTCCCATCCTGACGAGAGAACGCTACTGTAGCATCCATCATCATCATGATGATGATCACAAGTATCAAACCATGAGCGTCATGATGATGATGATGATGGTGATGATGATGATGAATGATGAATTATGATAGTTATGATGACAATTATGATGATGATGCTGATGCTGTTGATGATGATGATGATGGTGATGATGATGATGATGATGATGGTGGTGACGATGGTGATGACGATGGTGCTGTTGATGATAGCGATGGTGATGCAGATCGTCAAAGTAGTAGCATTCGCAATATTGATGGTCAAAACCATAGTAAGAAGAAGTAGTAGAACTAGAACTGAGTAGAAGAAAAAGAAGAAGACTCTCACAACGTGGCGGGCAAGGCTAAAGTTGTCGCCCGCACAATTGCTCGAAGGCAATCTCACACACACACACACTTGTCTTTCACCAGGGCTGTGGGCAGAGGTTGCCCTCTGCCCACACACACACACACTCTCTCTCAGAGCTGCACACGGTCGGTCCGCACTCTCACATTCTCGTGCATCATGCCTTACCTTGTCAGCCTCCTCAAGACTCGAAAACGGCCTTTCGCTCTCTTGCATCCCAGAGCTGGGCCTCGCTAAGCTCCGAGCTCCTAAGGCATCCTGAACCTCTCCTCACACCGCCTCACCTTGCAAACCTGCTGAGAAAGCTTCCAAGAGCTTCGGCTTCAATCCCCTTAAGGCTTGCCAGTAACGGATGCAACAAGGGTCTGCTTCCAAGGACACAACAATTACAAATCCAGAGGCTTGTGGCGCGCCTCTGCTGCGGGAAGTCCATGATGAAAGGCCTCACAGCCACAAAAGCATTGAAACTGAAACACCTTTGCAGATCCGGAAGGCCTCAAAGAACCGATCGGAAGGCCTTCGCGCAAGCGCAAGTCCTCCAAGATCACCTCGTCACTCCCTGTAAAGTGTACCCCAACAAAGGCTTGGGATGCAGGACATCCAAGGGCCAACTGTGGGAACTTCTCTGCGTGCTTGCCACGAGGGCCTGACAAACATGAAACCGAAGTTGACCAGCACCCAGCAACTCATGCAATACTCGTGTACCAGGCAAGCCGATTGCGAGCAAGACATGCCTTTCAACACCCAATTCCTGGGCCCTGCCCGGGGACAGGATGGACCTGGCAGACACGCGCCAGGTCAGCGCTTGCAGCCACGAAAAAACAAAAGGAGCTCTGTCACAAAAGGGAAAAGCGCGAGCGTCACAAGTGACCGAAACTCAGGGATTACATCTCTTTTATTGCCACCGCTCGGCACATGACTCGTTTCCGTTCGTTCGCAAAAGGACAGTTTAATGTAGTGAAGAGAAACAAAGCATCTTTGTTCCCGTCAGTATATTAAACTGGAACTCACTTGAAGGATTTCCAAACAAATTGAAACTGTCATGAACGACTCCTGGACGAAAGACTCAAGTTGCAAAAGACAAAAGAAAGCGTAAGGAACGCAAGGTTTTCTTCTTTGCCGCTATCTATTTGACCTTTTGCAACAGGCTTCGCACATCACCAGGACACCAAAGACACGTACACAATTAATGACACGCACCGCTCACGACACCTCATTTTGGGTTCTGTGCTTCCTTTCATTTAATTCATGCTTCACTCCATGCATGCACTATACTTAAATAAAAGAAACCAGAACGCAAAAGATAGGAAAGTTATTCCTGATCCAAGAGTTGACGGAATTCCAGGAATTAAAAGAAACTGTAAAGGATGGGGTTTAGACCTGGATTTCTAATGATACAATCCTATCACATGAAATTAGGTGTGCGGAATATTGGTTCGTTCTCCTTGCTTCCTTTCCTTTCTCTAATGGAAAAGGGATAATGGTGGAAAGAAGACTTGGAAACAGAGGTTGGGTT